TTATAGGAATAGCAAAATAGAAATTTTCAAAGGATGACACAGAAATTTACCTTGTGGCCTGTTATCAACATGGTGTGAAAGCGTGTGGGACAGCAGTGATTTTCAATAGGCTATTGCTGTATTTTCTTGCTTGTATTAGCGCATGAAATTTTTTTTGAGTCACAGATACAATTAAAAACTGTTGCTCTTTTCCATCTGGAACAGATAGCTGTTTCAGGCATTGATTGCTGAAAGATCATCTGCTGCCTGTGGATAGACCAGCACAAATCAAAGTCAACATCTGTGCATGGATAATCTTAACCCATTTTCTATTCTGTTACAATAGGAGCATATGCTCTCTGCTTCTGTTAGGCATGCATTGAGATAAATGAGGTGGTGCAGATCAGAGTAGTGATTCAGACTGCTGTAGTTAGGTAGGAAAATCCTCTAGGTGGCAATAGGAAATGAATTGTTGAGTTCGTTTTTCCTACCTATTGCTTCTGTTGCAAACTTCACTTTTGCAAAATCACATTTTACTTCTTTCCCTGGCTGTTGAGCTGTGTGTGGGGGGCAACTCTACGGAAGCATTCATCTGCAGCTTCTGTATCTACTCCCATAAAAAAGCAAATTGTGGTATATTACAGAGCATAATGATGGAAATATTATGGCATGCTCCAGAACTGCATTTCGTTTTTTAACAGAAATCATTGGGTCGTACTGGCTGCATAAATTATTGATGATGCATTCTGTGCATGGTTCACATAAACGTTAAACTGCAGAAAAAAGCATATATATTCTTTGTCATGCATATTTACTCTGTCAGAGAAATCAGGCACCCTCCTTTGACGGTATTCTCCTCCTGCAGAATGAGCTGGGCGTAGAACTTTTATGCCACATTTTGTGTAAGGAAAGGATACTTGTGGACTCTGGCTGTTTGGCAGGCTGAAGTTTGTTTTAATCACTTTAACGATATTAGAACTCGGTGAAGTAATTACAGGAGTAGTTTACTGCTATTCAGAGGACTAGCATAAAGCCTGAGCACTACTTAAATTTTATTTAAATCCTCAAAAGAGAGCTTACGTGGAACTGAAGTGGTACATAAATTACATGTATGGCCATTGCCTGTATAGAGTTGAGTTGTATTTAGAACTACATTTCTCAAAAGGCCAACCCTTCCTTAATTTTGAACTAGTCCTTTTTTTCTTTCTTTCCTTCCCTCCTTCATAGGGGCATATACTATGCATAAATGTGCATTATTTTGCATAGAATATATATATTTGCATAATATTACATAAGCACAGTGTCTGTTTTCCTTAACACCTACTTCAGGCATTCAGCATTTCCATTTCATACCTAACTCTCCTATGTGCAGCTCTATTCATTCCCCAGCCTTTCTATCCACCCACTCAGTCCTCAGACTCAATCCCCTGTTCCCTCTGCTAGCTCACTCAGCACGCATTCACCTGTTTGTTTTACATACGCCATATACCCCCTAATTGGAGATACTTGTAGCTCCATCTGCGTATTCACCCTTCCTCTGGTCTTTTATACAACAGAGGATGCTGGTATGTGTATCTGTGTGGGAGGTGTTGAGAAGGGGAGGGAGCCGAGCTAAGGAGGACCTAGTATGTATACATGTGGAAAAAAGTATGTGAAGAGTCCTGGAAAAGGCAGTGCAGGCCATGCTGCACAGGAATGCTGCAGGTCTGGTGATCGTTGGCCCAGGGAGAATCTGGGGAACAGGGTTTAGTCTCACTACTGCCTTCTGTCAGGAGGCTACAGCAGCTTCAGGGTGCAGTGCAGCAGAGCACAGCCGCTTCCTTCTCTTCCGCCCTGCCCTAGGAGTGCGCAGGAGGTGGGATTGCAGCACAGGCTCTGCAAGCTGCCAGCTTCAGGAGGGAAAAGGAACTCCAGACTTCTGCCTTCAACAGTGTCAGTCGCTGCCTGCGCTTGGGTGAATGTGGAAATGTGAACCCCCTCCGCTCTT